TATGTTAATCAAAGATGTGCTGGGACCATTATCCAAAGGCAGAGCATGCCTGCACACACACAGAGCCCTGCGGCTGGCAGGACTTACCAGGCCATGAGAGCAGCCTCAGACACATTGTGGGCTGGGTATTAGAGATGTGAACCTGCTCTGTCAATCAGACACAGGCACTGAGTTCCAGCAGCCCCCAAAATTCATTCCAGCTGTGACACAACCAATTTGAATCCCAGTAAGTCCAACGCAGGACAACCACACCTCACACAGGATTATTATAAGTCACCACTTTCTATAAGAAATACTCTTCCAGAGCACAAGAGGCGCAGAGAAGAACAAATAGACAATTCCCTTCCCCAAACTGTTCTTCCCAGGCACCTTGCCCCTCTGTGTTACCAGTCCCAAACCCCAAAAGCTTCATTTACCACTGTTGAGACAGTTTCCAGTTCTAGGAGACTGACTCCCTTTTCCTACCAGAAGTGGGATGCTCCATAGAGGACTGCATGTCCCCAGGAGAACATACCCAGACCCAAAATGCTCTTCCATTCTCCTCTAAGGGCAGCTAGAAGATGTCTCCAGATTTTCCCTAAACTTTAATCGCCTGCTCCTTCACTAAGATGAATGGTTCGACTCACTTTCAACCCTCAAATGATTGCCCTTTTCCCTGAAACAACTACAGATTTTATCTCTCATTTCCCTATCCACCTACTCTCATATTTAAGTTTATACCTGAAAGCCCTGAATTCTTCTTGCTTGCTTTTCATGGCCTGCAGCTTCTCTTTTAACATTAAGAGCACTGTTCCTGGCAAGACATTAAGGTGCTCCTCAGGTGCCAGCCTGAAAGACATAACTGCACCATTTGCATTCATGTTTTGATAGTGCCTCCATCCCTACTGCTGGGGCGTCTCCCTCAGCAAGAAATCTGGTTGTCCCCGTTCTCTTGGCCCCAACCTTTCCTCTTTCCATCAGATTGCTCCAGCTGAGAAGGGCACCCAGCACAGCAGCAGGGACAGTGCCTGGCTCAGCCTCCGGCACCACGGCTCTCTTATGCTCCAGGTTTCTCCTCTTACAGGAACCTCATCGACTGGAGGGGAACTTAAAGCCCCCACCAACCTGCAAGTTGAGCAATGCTTTAACGGGCTGCTCACAAACTCAGGAATAGTTTCTCTTTCATTTTGCATGCCCTGATGAAGTCATGCTGCTCATTCCCAATACTGGTTTGTATTCTTCAGGTTTAGTTCCACAGCAGCTATTCCCTGTTCCTTTCTTCCCTGCTCCGTTTGGAGTCCCAGTGCCCTCTGTATTCCATCCCCAAAGTCCACCTCCATCTGTGCCTAAGCCTAAGATTTCTCACAGAAGTAGCAAAGAGCTTTGTGTGCCTTCACTGTTAAGTTACAGCCAACAGTTCAAGGAGGGCACAGCCAGACCTTCACTGGAATGTGCCATGGGATGATGTGAGCATGACATCCAGAACTCAAGGTGACCAGCTGATATTGTTATGACAGCAGACTTTAAGTCACACCCTGTTTTAATTCAGTTTCAAGGCTTCGGGAAGAAAATTTGGGCCTGGAACTATAAAGTGCAGGAAGATAAGCCACAGAAACATGCAAAGCCCTCAGCAATTCTGGGCAGTGCTACACATCCTGACAATTAACAGCTGCTCGTGCTCTGGGCAAGAATTATCACTTTGCTCCCAAGTTTCCTACATCCCCTGGGGAAATCCACTCTCATGCTCTCCCTTGGCAAGGTCTCATCAAATGGAAACACAAGTGAAGAAATTTATTCATTCTCATTTAAGGACCAACAAGTTCTGCACTGGCAGCTGCCCACACGTCTTGTATCCCTGTACCTGCTCCGAGCTTAACCACATAACCCAGAGATGACAAGTTAGAAATTCCCCAAAGAGCAGAGCCCACAGCCTTCACTCTCAAAGCCATGGATGGTACTTCCCATGCTGGAAACCACTCCTTGTTTGATCCTGCAGCATACACAAAAATCAGGGAGAAGAAGGACTGAGTCAACTTTATTTTTCCTAATATTACTGTGCAAAAGGCACCTTCTGAGACTAGCTTTGGAGAGGAGCACAGCAGCAGCCTTCCTGCAACATTCACAGGCTCTTGCAGATCATCTGCAGCAGCAGTCCCACCACGACTGTGTGTGGCACACATACATTACAGCTGAGCCCCAAACAGAAAGGGGCTGCAAACTTTCCCAGGGCAGATCACACACAAGGCGTTAACACTTGGTTCCACTTTGAAGCCAGGTTTGACCTAGTTTAGGTCTTCCTCTCTCTCTGTTAGTTCCTTTGGCTCACACGAGCTCTTCTGGAGGAGTTCAGCAACCGGGAGGCATTGCTCTCATCCCATCTCCCCCTCCATCCAGCTCAAAGCATCAAGCTGCACCTCTGCCAGCTTCCCCTCCAGCCCTGACCCTTCCCACCTCTGCCCACACTCAGCAGGCTAAGCGAGAAGCTGAAAGGCTGGCAAGAGCCACCCAAAAATGCCCCCAAAAGCTCAGTAAGCCATGCACCCAGCAGAGCATCGCAGCAAAGGTGCAGAGCTGCTCTGCACAGCGCCTCTCCGAGCCAAGTAGGTCACAAGGTTTTCCCCTTCTCAAAAGCATTATCATCTGCTTGTGGAATAGCTGCAGTGGAAGATTTTGCAGCAATATACCATATGGCAGCATCGTGCAAAAAATCTCATTTGCAAGCATTTTCAGAAAGTGTCATATTGAAGGAAAGAGGTTAAAAGCTTCTAGGTTGATAGGAAGAAGGGTATTTTTGCTTTCTTTAAAAAAAATAAGGTCAGATTAAACAAATGGGATTTGTTCTAATGATGGCTGCTCAGTGTGTTCCTTCATACAAGTCCATAACATCAGTGCAGAGTTCCCTTACCAACACCAGGGCTCTCCAGCCCCAAGCACAACTGCTGCACTGCTGTAGCTTGTGGTTATCCCAACAATTTAAGGGCTCTTCACTCAGCTTCTCAGAAAAACCAATGTGGGGACAGGTTTTGTCCAGCCTTCCAAACTTCTCTTGATCATATAGACTCACAAATGACCTTTAATCTCCCTGAAATCAAATAACTCTGTCTAAAATCCTGCACAATCACTGTACAAAAGTGGCACCAGAAGCCATTACTCCAGCCATTTGATGGCCTCAGCTATAATAGAAAGAACAGAGTCATTCCACAAGGACAGCAGAGGTGCATGCAGCTGCTTCTGACACTGGCACAGAGCGACCTCATGGTTCTTTGAGCATGTTTCCAGCACCTTCCTGAAGCACCTGACTGTCACCTCCCTCCTACTCTTCCATTTGCTTCTGTATATTCAAATTCATTACTTGAAGGAGCTGCCTGTTTTTCTGAGCCTAAGAGGAATACAGTCTGTGACGACAGAGAGGCTTCACAGATCAATCATGCTTTCAGAACAGCACAACTTCAAACACACTTCAGTTGTGTTCCCCCTTCAAGCTGGCTCACAAAGTTGTTGGAGCCCTTTATACTACAGCAACCAGACTGGAGACCTTAAAAGACACGTAGATGTCACGTGCTCTGCGCAGGGCGTTGGAGGCAATGAGCACCAGGTGCACTGAGCATTATCTCCTGTGGTCACAGCCTTTGTCACCAGCTGGACACCAGAAAAATGCAGCATCACCATTTCAAAACCCATTCCCACGTGCACCTCGAGCAATCTTGTGCAACCTAAAAATCAGGAGTCTGCTGATGTGAGCATTGTGGTCACCCCGGTGTGTTCAGTCCGTTACAAGCAAGCACTTTGCATTAATGGTGTCTATAGCCTTGAAAGTCCACGTGCATTTTAGAAGCATCTGGACTAATTAGCAAAATCCACATAAGAAAGCTCAAGTTCCTCCCATTTCATTAAGAAGATCAAGAGGTTAAAGAGCAGCTTTTCAAAGGTGACCAGCACCTAACTGCCTTCTGGTCCCGAGCAGCAGTGCGAGCTGCATGCCCTGGCTGTGCCAGAACAGCGCCCTCTCCCAGGAGCTCTGCTGCAGACACCGGTTCTGCTCCCACACACACAGACCTCCTGCACCCTTGACAGCAGCCCTGTTTGCTGGTACACAAAGGTAGCATTAGCAAGGAGCAAGCCATGGCCACAGAGCCAAAGAAAATGAGATCTGATCTTTGAATACACCTGAGAAGTCAACGCATTTCAACTGCTCAAATAGTCTTCTTCAGCACTCAGTCAGAGCCAGACAGGGAGAGAAAGGATGAGAATCTTTTTAGAGGTTTCTGGTGAAATCTTTCTATGAAACAGAAGGTAACACCACAGAAGCTGACAGTGCCCTTATTCCTCCAGAATAGATGACAGTAGATGTGCACACTCCTCAGCCCAGCCACGCTTCCAGATCAAGCGCTGGCTGCCATCTCCTGCCCAGTATAGGTGTCCTGCTCCATACCAGTATTCACCACGTACACTGCCTGTCCCATCAGCTGACTATGAAGAAAAGCTGAGGCTTTATCAGTAGCACAGTGACATCTCTGGATTCTGAGGAGAATGTGTGCAGCTCTGCATTCTAGAAGACAGAACTAGAATTCTTGATTTAGCCAAGCAAGCACTCCAAGAGCATTTTCCTGTGAGTTTGGACATGTTAGTTTAACACAAATAAGGGATGCGATATGTTAGCATGGTAATCTCCTTCCCAGGTTAGTTAATATGAAAGCTCTTGGAGATGGGAACATCACTGTCCCTTATTTCCTGAAGAAAAATGTAAGAGGTAACACTACTGTAACATTTCAATTTTTTATTTCAAGAGATGTGCATTTGGAAATACAAACTCCTACAGAACTCTTCTTTTAAGCGTGGTAACATTGGGATGTGTGGTTCGGTGAGACAGAGGAGTTCTCCTGTGTCTGAGTCACCTCAACAGCGCCTGGGAGCTCCCATGGGCACTGGGATAGGACCAGCAGCTTCCAATGGGCTCCTCCAGGGATCCCAACAGTCAGTGATTGTATCTGCCGTGGTCACACCTTCTGAGTCTCATCTGTGTGTTCCTGAGAGCCTGTAAGTACAGCTGAACAGCGGATAAAACACAGGAGGGGACATTAACTTCATTTAGGTCTTGGCCATTGAAGAGATTCTTTTGTGGATATCCCTAAAACCCCAATTTAGGTAATTATTAATAAGACCTATGTGCATTCCCTGATACTTGTTCTTCGCAGGCTTTCTCACTGCCAATAATTTTCGTGGTTTGCCTGTCTCCCAGAAAAACCTTTCTTACTTTCCTAATTAAAATTCCTTGTGGCCATCATCTAAGCACTCGTAATCCAAAAAAACTCAAGCCATTGCACAAACCAGATCCAACTCATACCTAATATAAGCCCATTGCAACAGAGTCAACAGCTACACCCAAAACCAACGAACCAAAGCCTGGAAGCAGCACCTGGGCTGCCCAGCCTCCCTTGTGCTGCTGTGGGATTTCTCTCTACCAGATCTCCTTGAGATTCTGAGCAATGTAGTTTGCAAGAAACCAATGTGTGTCTTTAAGACCTTGTTTCCAAGGGCACAGCCAGATAATTCAACTGCATTTGCTTCTCCCTACATCTCCCCACACTGCACCAATGAACGTTGGCCTCCTGATGTTGGAACCTTACAGCACCACAGGCTGTGACCACTTTAAGCACTACTCAGCCAAGCTTGCTTCATTCTACCAGTTTAACCTTTCTTCTCCAACACCCCAAATAGTTTTTGCCCTTCTCACAATTCTTAATTAGCTGAAGAAAAACCCCAAACCCCAGTGATGCCCAAACCTGAACGCAGCCACTGATGAGGAATCTGTAAGATCATGTGGTAGTGGGTAATACCATGAAAATGCCCATTTGTCTGGATAACTGAGATCCATTCCAAAATCTCGCCTAACAAGGAAACTCCAACACACCACCCTAATACCAATTATTAGCTTCAAAGGCAGCAGAACAGACTAATGCTGTAGACAGATAATATCATACATCCCTATATTAAAGCAAGCACAAATGATTTAATTTCATTTCACCTGGAAAGTTCTGGCTCTCCTATTTATTGCACTGGTCCCTGTGTGTCATGAGAATGGCATCAGCCGTGCTGACCCAGCTGCCACCAGTCCTGTCCACAGCCGCGGGCCACGCTGGTGGCACCATGCCTTGGCCAACAAGAGCCACAGCATGCCCTGATGGTGCCACTGGTTCAACAGAGGTCAAAATGAGACTCTGAGGGAAGAGTTAATCATTAACTTTGGATATTAACTTTTTTTTTTTTTTAAAGACACCCAGGTTACAGTAGGGGATACATCTGGTTGGTGTTGCTACAATGGGTATGGAAGAAGTCGAGGGGCATTTGAGCCCCTCAGAAGATACCCCATCTGTATCTTCTGACCCCATCCAGTTTTAACGAGGCATTTTATTTTCAGTGTAGCAGGGCTTCAGCAGCTCACAGGAAGCTCTAACTCACTTATTTCACGGAACAACGTGTCCCAACACATGCTGAGGGCGCAGCGCAGGGCAGTCAGGCTATGCTGACTAATGAATGGAGAGACTGCCCAGGTCAATGGGATCGTCCAGGCTGAAACTGGTGTTTGTGCAAGCTTGTGAGTTGGCCCTACTGCAAGAATTACCTTGCATCTTTTCTCACCAGCATCTGAAGGCATGCTCTTCTCACAGCTGCTACTCTGGCGCCCTGTGTTGCTGGATCTTCCCATTCTTGTCAATAAAAGCCAGGGAACCTCCTCAGCCCTGCTCCAACCCAGTGTCCTACAGCAGGTTGTGCAAGATGATGAGGAACAGAAAGACCATGCTGCAGCCCTGCACCACATGGACTGATTGGAAATGCAAGGAGGGGTACAGCCTAGTTAAAAGAGAATATCTGCATAATGTGTATTTACCTTTAATTGCCAGGAATAAATTCCACAAACGTTTTATGTGCCTCTTCCAAAGCTTCTGGTTGGAGCTCTTTACAAAGGGGCTGTAGGTCCTTCAGCATAACCCTGTGCATCTGGCTTCATTCACTAAGCAGTTTCTTCCCTCATGTGGTTAAAAAACAAAAACAGTTGATATATCTGCACAGAGCAAGAGTGAGGCCAGCCATGGTCAAAGCTACTGCAGCCTGAAGCTGGGTCCAGAGCTGACAAAATAGCCCACGATCTTTCCTCTGTTCTCCAAGGGGGAGAGAATTCATTGCTCTTTGCAACAGGGGCCACTGCAAAGCCTCCAGCATGTGAGATCTGAGAGGAGAAAAAAAATCATGGGCAGCTCCATAGAGTGCAGACAGGAGTAATGACTCCATGAAGTCAGGCATCAGCCGTTCAGCTCCCCACTGCCAGAACAGCAGGTATAAGAAATCCTCATGCCATAAGGATGTGACAGAGCTGCAAAAACAATGAGAAGGTTTTGCATGAAGTGCTGCAGAAACATGGAGCCTTACTTGCATTTTCTTCTACTATAGCCTATAGAATTCTGTAGCAGAATTGAATAATCTCTACTCACATGCTGGCTATAAAGCCACCAGAAACCTCACAGTCATTGCATTCTACAGCCCCCCCACACACACACACCTCAGAGAGACTCTCTAGGGCTTTGATCTGTGCCTTAGGAGTCAAACCTCTGGATGCCTCTCTTCACCTGTTAGAGGTCTCCAGCCATAAGGGCTCTCCAGCAATTCCCTCTGCTCTCTTGGAGTGAAATGCATTACTGTGCAGAGCCAGTGCAGGGTCTGCATTTCACTTCAGTCTCTCTTAAGCCATCAAAAAGAAGGGTATTTGCTTTGAAAAAAAGCTACAAATTTCACTTTGGCACAAACAACAGCAATCGCTAAGGGATGTCCCAACGGTCCCCTCAGTCAGCCCACGAAATGGCTGCAACTGCCTCACCCCCACATTGCAAATGTGTGCTTCCATCTCCCATCTAATTCCTTTCCACTATTTTCATGGTTATTTGTGCTGGTCTCACCCAAATATTTTGGCTGAAGTTTTTAGAGGACCATGTAGGAATTATTCAGCTTTATCCTCCAGACTCCCTCGTGAAAGACATACAATGGAAGCACTTCCATTCTGGGGAGCTCACTCCACGAAGCCTTCACGAAATGCCATGCCTGAGCATATAAACCTTCCAGGAATAGTCTCTGAGGCAGCAAACTGCAATCCCACACTTTGGGATAAGCACAAAAAGACTATTTTCAGCTCCTTGCGCTGGACTTTACAGCAGACACTTGGAAGCACATCCTTCTGCCGAGGGAACAGCAGCACACCGTGCAAGAAAGCAAACAGCTTGGGTTCACAATCCAAACACACCCAGAAATTGCTCAGAAAGACAGATAAGTAAAATCACATGTGAAACTATGGCAGCACAGAAACTGTTCAGGACCTCAATGAGGTCCCTGTCTGTGATTCTCCTGGAGATAGGAGAGAACACTGAGTCACAAAGCAGGGGATGCGTGGCCCAGCTGCAGCACCCAGCACTGCTTTGTGCAGAGACCCACAAGCAGAAGGCAGGGGTCTGAGTTCAGCCAGGCTCTGGGGGGCCCAGCACAGGCATGCCCAGCCCTGCAGCAGGTCACACAGCAGTCCAGCCAGGATTGCTGCAAGCATCCTGCTTTCTCTCCTCTCTCTATCCCTGCTTCCCAGAAAGCTTCTGCTAATTCAACAAGAGAATCTTCTTTAGAAGAGATCATACATGTGCATATGATTTATAAAGAAACATTTGGAAAAAAAAACCAAAAAAACACACTGCAGCTTCACTGAAGGACACATAAGGACTTGGCTGGCGTGGAATTCCCATCTCCAGGCTTTGGGGGCTGTGGGACAGAGGCTTTCCTTTCACATGGCAATGCACAGCCCTCAGAGCTCCCCAAAGCAAAGCCACCACTGAACTCATAGTACAGATGGGAATAAAGCAGAAGGAGCCCCAGGAACAAAGGTTCACCACATGACCACCTGTGAGAAATTAGCAGCTCAGGTCTGATCAAAACCTTTCAGCTGCTTTGACCCCGTGCCCCAGCTGGAGGCAGGCTGTGGCACAACTCACCTCTCGGTGCATCTTTTGACAGCAAAGCTCAATACATGAGCTCCATTACAAGGTTTTGTCTTCACAGATTTTTGTTTTCACATCATAAGCTTCTGCCAATTATTTTTAAAGCAGAAAATGAGCACAATTAGGGGAATGAGAACAGACGAACCCTAAAACTAACAAATACGAGTCCGGCCTGCGCTGTCAGAACTTGCATTAATGGGTTTGTGTCCATTAGCCCATGTGCAAGTCCCAACCCAGCACCTCGTGCTCCAGAGATGTACCATGGCACTGGGTAACCACGTCAGCCAAAACCCCAAACTTCCTTTCTTAAAGGATGCAAAAGCAGGTCCTGCAGAACAGCTGCACGAAGTATTTTAAAGCTTTGCTTTTCTCATGGGGACGGTGACATTTCAGACATTGTTCCTCCTTCCATAGACAAACTCAAACCACACCAGTGGGAAGAATCAGAAACCTGGGAGCAAGTATCAGAGTAGGTGTCCAATTAATCTTTTGTACAAAGTCAGCAAAAAAGGTAAGTGGATTTTCCCAGCAGCCTATTATATGAGGCACGAAGGTTTACTGCACAGAGACATCAAAGCCTGATGCGTTGTACAGAAACATTAACTGAAGGTTTGCTCTGTGTGCCATGAGATGCACACCAGGTTCCTGTGGTTAGTGGAGACCTCGTGACCTCTTGCAAGAGCTGATCACGGCATCCTGGTCAAACACCAATACCTTAATTACATTTTGGCTTCCAGTGCCCTTTGCTAGGTGAGTTCCCAGGGCAGGGTGCCTCGCCGGTGGGCAGCTCCAGCTGCTGAGGAGCTGGTTGGGTATTTAAGGCAACTTAACACAAGCCTCTATACATATAGGCATATAGCTGCTATTGCAGATTCCAACTGCTTTGCGAGCATGATTTCTCCTTCCATGCCACGATGCTCAATGGACCTGCAAATAAACCAACCTCCAATTGCTGCCTCTCACTCCAGCATGAGCTCGCTAAGTATTTTAATTGGCAATACCCAGGATGTAGATGTGCTGAACATGGCCCATTTCCTTTTCTAAGTTATGCCAATAAAGGGAAAATGAAAGGTCAGAAACAATCACAATTAGAAATAATAATAAGAGCACAGGTTCCATCTTTCTCCCATAGGCACCTATCCTGTGTGCCACACACAGGATACAACAAAATTAATTGCAGATGAGTTCTCATAGCTTAGCTCAAATGTTGACTCAAACTCACGTAACTCTTTCAGTAGTTTGTGTCAAATTATCATGGAAGAGGCTACCAGGTGTCCTAAGGAAGATCTGTTTGCCATCTCACTATGATTCATTAGCTCCAAGCTTCAGCCAGGATTAATAATAATCATCATAAAAAGCTGCTTAATTGGTCTAAAAGCAGTCATTTTCATTTTCTGTGAGGGTTATGCTCTATTTTTCAGATGTGGTTACCTTCATTTTTCTTAGAACGGTTCCTTGTTTGCCTTCTCTCCCCTGCTCACAGGGCTCTTGTGGGCACTTGGATAGAGGAAGGTATCTTTAAAGTTAAAAATAGGAAACTGAAAAACCACACGCAGCTCCCAGTGCAGGGGGTGAGACGTTATCTGGGGCTGCAAGTCCACACAGCCCCTCGACCGCACCGTGCAGGACTGCGCTCTCCCCAGGGAGGCGACCCCGTGTTCCTCCTGCAGTGAAACCTTCAGCTGCTCAGAGATGTTGGCAGCAGGAGAAGTTACAGCACAAAGTTACAGCACAACGCCAGCCTGCTTTTCCTTTTTTAATTTAAATGTTCTAAACGTCTCTCCTAAGCCAAGCTACGCACCCAGGGCTGGGATGGAGCAGGAGTGGTGCTGCAACTCATGCTGACCATGATGGAGAGCCAGCTTTGCCTTTTCCTCTCCCGGCTCCTAGGATTCCATCCTCCCTTTGGCATCCCACAAACAACCTCTCTCAGTTGAGCATCAAGACCCATGCTGAAGGGGTGAGGCTGTACCTAGCAGCAGAGCTGACAGCCATATTCCACGTGGTGTTGGACCACCAGTGGCACACAGCCATAGAAAACTCAGCCCGAAGCTGCACGTAGGGAAGAAGCACCCAGAAGTTACATTGTTATGTAAAGCAAGCAGGATCTGAAGTGCTGAAAATCAGTTCTGAGAAACCCACAATAGCAGGCAGAACACTGTGAGCCTTGGCCTGCCCAGTGTCACTCCTCAGCCTGGGAGAAGGGAAACTGCTGCTGCAATTTGAGGTCCATTGCTTGCATTCCTGCACAGAAACTACTCTTGCAAAACTGAGCGCATGGCAGTACCACCCTCCAGCTCAGCGCATACACCACTCACCCCAGGGCTGCCACAGACACAGCAAGGGGGTGGAAACCCAGTATACAGCTGCAGCGCTTGTTCCCTTTGAGTTTCTGAGCAATAGAAACACCCCACCTAGGGTCACTGCCAGAGATCCTCAGAGTGGGTCACCACTCACTGCACTGCCTACAATAATCTGAAAGCACAAGGCTCACCCACGAGAGCTCTCTGCACTCAAACACCTGAAAACAACACTTCAGACAGAACCCCACATAATCCCAGGGTTCCCCCTCAGGAACTTACCAGGAGCACCTTCCTCCTACAGCCAGACAGCCACTTCCTAATGGAGCCATAGGAGAATGCAGGCTGATAGGGCTGCACCCACACCTGCCGGCTTTAAATGTGCTCATTGGTAAAAGCTGGCACCAACACCCAGGAGAAATGAGTGATAACCGGGGAGGGCAATGCAGCTGCTGCACCTGCAGCCAGGAGCAGAGTGCCACTAGATGGTGACAGTGCCTGCAGAAACGGAGCTACAGGGGGAGAATCCCAGCACCAGTGAGTTGGAAATGACTTGGGAATGAGCAGCCAGAATCTCTTCTTTGTGAAGGATTAGGTTTAACGTAAGTCATGTTAAGTCTAAGAGCTGCAGGAGGTGCTGGTTGGGCGATAAACTGAGGTGTTAACTCACCTGTATGGAGTGTATGAGCTGAGTTATCTCTGTATGGATGCACAAGAAGTCAATAACCTTTATTTGCCTTCATTGACCTGTGGCTGCTCCTCTGCACCTCTGACACCCAAAACGGAGCCAAATGAGGGCTGTGGGATTTGCAGCCTCTCCTAGGCAATGCCCCCCTCACAGGGACAGAACTTCTCCATCCCCACCCGGGCTCCTGCTGGTGCAGGTGCTGCCCTTGCAGGGCGCTGGAGCTGGAGCTTTTGGGTTCCAGCATGTTCAGCACAAAATATCAGCAGTGCTTCAATTATATAGTGTGCAATTCAATAAGAATGGGTGGCTAAAAAATAATCCCTGAAATTTCTATGCACCAATGCTGAAAACTGTAGAGTAGAGCAGACTGAGCCATAAAATGTCTTAGGGTTGGGAGGGACCTCGAAGACTATCCAGTTTTATTAATCACCTAAATGATGCACTAGAGAAAATGTAAGTTCCTCAATAAATTAGTAGCAGAGGAGAAACTTTATCTTGGTGTTTAATCATCTTTGTCATCTCTGATCAAATACCAATGGGTAAACAGAAGGGCTTGGTTTGTCTGGTTGTCGTCTTGTTGGTGTTTTCTTATCCAAATATGGCTACAAGAGAAGGAGACTGACTTGAAAGGAAAGGGCAGGACCCAGATTCTTACAAAGTGTGTTGTAACGTTCTGCCAGCCCTGTGCCTGCTCCCAGTTCCCTGCCGTGCAACACAGAGCACAACCAGAGCCATCACCATCATCACCACGGTGCAGATGGCAAAAGCACGGCTTCCTTCCTGTCACCCACTGCTCCTTCAGCCAGCAGAAACGTCCTCATTTCTCCAAAATACACAAAATGTAGAAACAAAAGGATTTCTCCTCCTTCACATTCACAAGGGCTCTCAGGTGCTTCTGCAAATGCTTCTGCCCAGCTGTGGCATTCTGCTTCTCCAGGCTCACAGAGCAGTTGGCACACAGATGCACACGCTTATAGAATCATAGAATGGCCTGGGCTGAAAAGGACTACAGTGCTCATCTGATTCCAACCCCTGCTATGTGCAGGGTCACTGACCAGCAGCCCAGGCTGCCCAGAGCCACATCCAGCCTGGTCCTGAATGCCTGCAGGGATGGGGCATCCACAGCCTCCTTGGGCAACCTGTGCCAGTGCCTCACCACCCTCTGAGTTATGTCACTGCAAAGCGAGGTATTCCCATTACAGATCCCCTCTGCTTGAAGGTGGGACAACGATTACTCATTTCTAAACAAAGCCTCATCTCTTTGTTTGAAAATAACTCATTTCAGAATGGAAAAAAAAAATAATCAGTGAATTTCTTCACAAAAAAAAAAAAAAAGAAAGAAATTGAGTTTCGGTTTTACAGTGAGTGCGAAATACTCCGTTCTGACAGTTTTCACTTTTGTTATACATTGCGTATGTTTTCACAGTCCAAGACCTCATCAACCCGCATGGCTGCAGGGCCTCGAGGGGGATCTCTGCTGTCATTTCCTTTGGTGATCCCATTTGGTCTCAGCCAGCACTGCCCTGCAGGGCTGTGGGATGGGAGCTGGGGGCGGTGCAGTGGGTGTGGGTCACAGCCTGTGGATTCCTGGGCAGAGCTCTGCAAATTGCCCCCAGTCTCGCCATGGTTCTGCAAAGATCTCATCGCTAGAGGCAGCACGTGAGCTGGCAGCGATCCTCCCAGAAAAGCAGCTTAAAAAACACGATGGGAAAATATGTTAGCAATTTACAGATGGGTAAACTGAGATAGAATGGACGTTGCTGCAAGACTCAAGGGGATGGAGGGCTCTGTGCAGAGCCACCAGATTGCTGGCTAGACAAGAGGGCTCAGATGCACACACGGGTGGCACAGAGCAGGGGGTGGTCCTGTGCTGAGCCCTGCAGCGAGGCACTGAGCACACGATGGGCTGGGGTTGGGGTTGGGGTGCTGCAGCCCCAGCACTGCACTGCGGGGACTCACACGGTGCCATCAGTGTGGGGCTCTGTGTGGAGGAACGTGGGGTGGAATTCCCCTTTCCCAGCTAATCAGCTTTATCACTTGTGTTGCAGCGGGCTCCAAAATTCCCTTTGTCACTGTGCAATAAATTTTGCCCCTGCATCGACTGAGTGCATCTCTATTTGGGAGAAAAGTGCTTTGCAGAATGGCCCACGTCCGCCTGCAGTAACGGGAGCGCTCCGTTATGGTAACCCTTGCTACTGAGATGACAATTATTTTTCCAGACATACAAAAACCAAAAATCATTTGAATGTTGCATCACATAAACAACCTGGTTCTCATGCATGGACTCATTTATTCCGTCCTGAAACAGATGTGCAGAGAATGATGACAAAGCAAAGGCAAGGGACCACCAAATAAATGCTTTCTGCAAGCAGAGGACCCATCCAAGCTCCATTACAATAATCTGCTTTATCCCAGCAGCGATTTCCACGCCTCCCCAACTTTCTGGCATGCACATGGAAAGATGTAGCTATAAAACATGAGCAAAAACGTCAGGCTAATTAAAGGGCTTTTATCTGGTTAAAACCATATCTCTTTTCAAAAACAGACATTTTCTTGCCCGTACGTCCTAAACAGCACCTGAGGTTACTGCAGCAGAAAGGAGTTGTACAAAGCAGATTTGCATGACACTGTTTATTGCCTCCTGTGCATTTTTTGCATGTCTCCCAGCACAGTCTGGCCGCTCCTACCTTTCTCCACCAGCACTTTCTAATCAATGGCGTTTGCAGACTTGCCTGGCAGCAGAGCTGGGCTGGTGGTTGGGGCACAGCCAGACATCACTCCCTGCCACCCTGCAAAGCTGGGTGCACAGTTCCTGGAGCACATGCCCAATATCAGGGCACAGGGATGAGGTGCAGGCTTCCAGCTAGCAAATGTCACTGCTGCTCCTCAAGCAAAGCAACAAGACTGCGAGCTGTGTGCTGCAATACAGGCAGTGAGGAACCCACAGGTGGGGTGCATGGCTTTGAAGGAAGGAGATGTGAAAGGGTATAAGGGTGCTGCAGTCCCTGGGGTGCAATGTAAATTCCAGCTTTCTGGGCAAACTCCCAGCTCTGAAACTGGAGTGACTTTATTCAGGCATAAATGCTCTGCTTTAAATAGCTTGGCAGTGCTTATCTTTCCATCTCAGCTATTAAGGGGCTCTTTGTGCTTCAGCAGACTGCGACTGGCCTGAGCGCTGCTGCTGCTGTGGCACATGACTGCTGTGTTTGGTTTTAGCCAAAACAGAATTACTTGCAGCAGCTGGAGATACTCATTTTCCTCCAGCAAAACCCTTGCAGGTTGCAGCCATCTTGGCTGGGTCTGCGCAGAGATGTGTGGGAGCAAAAGAAGAAGGCAGGACTGGTTTTGCCCCATCCTGACATATCAGGTTATAGCCTTGAAGATAAGGCATGGAGAAGCTTTGCATCCTCCCAGAAGCACACCCCAATGTGCCTGGTCCAGCAGAGCTGTCGGTGATTTGCCACTTGTGCACCTCCCTTCCCCCCCAGCAAATCCCCTTTTGTTACCCCGAGTCTGAAAACCCAAGCCAAGGCTCTGCAGCTGCTTCTGAGCAGAGTCTGGAGAGCACCTGGTTAACACGAGCAGCCACTCTCTGCCTTCTGTGCTGTAAAACACTGCAGGTAGCCAAACGAGAGGATATTGGCATACTGAGAAGTCCTCCACTTCAAACAGATCCAATCCATCCCAGGCTAACAGAGCCAGGAAGATCGCCATCTGTCACCCAGGCTGGAGTCAGGCTGCACCCTAGCACTTTAAATCTGCAAGGATGCAAGAAAAAAATACGAAATATAGTATAGAAATGCGAGGTTTGGAATGGAACTCCTGAGCTTTGCACACACTGGTGGAGTTCAAAGCCTGGAGATGCACCCACTGGACATCCCAGGGGCCAGCAAGCACCCTGCTCCCAGGAGTGTGGTGTTACATTCTCCATCATTTTGCTCAAGCCATTAAAAACCCTCCATGAATCCAAAGGAATCTGTTAATCTCAACTGCTATGGATGCTGGAGCACACGTTCCTTGTGCACACGCTGATCTCCAGCAAGATGAACTCATTTATGTCCTATGCATTACGGCATGGCCAACTCTACTGTCTGTAACAGAATCCACGAAAAAGCAAAACAATAATTCTCTTGTCTCCCTGCTGTAGCAGTAATCTGCCATCCAATTGCTAGGAAGCTTCCACAGCCATGAAAACACATGCTACTGTGTGCAGGCTGAAAATAGCAATGCCTACAATTACCGGGTAAAGCTCAGTTTGCCCTAAAACACTGCTTGGCTGTAATTACTTATATTTACCTAATTGCAACTTATCACACCCCGAATAAGAGGGATTGGCAGCACTTTCATGAAGATGCCTCGGAACATTGCAGCATTGTGCCCACAGCCCTTTGGGAATCGAGCACCAGCAGTTAATCCCATGTAAGCACAGCTGGTTCCCAGGGCTGGGCTGCCTGCTGCCCTGCTGTCTCGTGTCACCCCATGTCATGTCACCCCATGTCATGTCACCCCATGTCATGTCACCCCACAGCGAGGGACCCAGCCACTGCCACAGGGCTCACGTCACAGCACTGGGTCGGTCCCAGCCCCCCCAGATTGCAGTCCTTTGGTGCAGTTTCATGGGATAATGTGAAGCATCGATGCATGTGAATGCTTTGTGCAGCAGGAGCAAATAGCTGAGAGCTTGGAATTGCTTTACTACTCATTTCTGCTAC